GGTCGCCCTAGGCCACGCCCCCGCCCGCCCCGCCCTCTCTCACGTCCTCCCTCCACGTGGGCCCCGCCCCTGCCTCTGGCGCCTTGGCAGCGGCCCCGCCCACGCGCCGGCCTGCCCGGGACACGTGCGCCGCTGCCCCCTTCCCGGGGCTCAGCTACGGTTGCCATCCTCCAGGTGGGGCCTGGAGATCTCCCGCTTTTACAACTGGTCTCTGGCTGACAGAGATCCGCTCCCCTGGAGAAAATGGCTGCTTGGAAGGGTGGGCTCTGTGGCATTGCACCATGCTGAGGCCCCTCCCCAAACCCCGCCCTCTCCTGGATCCACCCCCCAAAGTCTCCAGGTGTTTTCCAACCCAGACTTGGCAACCCTAGGCACAGCTCTTCCCCCTGCTGTGATGGCGGAAGGGGTGGGGGTGGCAGAGAACTGGGAGGACTTTGCAGGAAGCCGCCCCCCCCCCGGGGAGAGGTGCACTCTGCGTATGCCCAGGAGCGATTCGCCCTGTGCTCCCTCACTCTCATGCAGAGGCTCAGTGCAAAGGACCAGGTTTAGAGCTCCCTGGTCCAAACTGCATCTCTGCCAATCCCTCTTGGTGGCTAGCCAGAGGGACTTCAGAGCCAGACAGAGAAGGGGCCCCTTCTTTCTCAAGGGGGCAGAGGTGCAATTTATAGACAACCCACCCCAGGAACCACTAGGGTTGCCAGGTCTGGGTTGAAAAATACCTGGAGACTCTGGGGGTGGATCCAGGAGAGGGAGGGGAGGGGCCTCGGCAGGGTAGGATGCCACAGAGTCCACCATTCCACGCAGCCATTTTCTCCAGGGGAGCTGATCTCTGTCAGCTGGAGATCAGTTGTAAAAGCGGGAGATCTCCAGGCCCCACCTGGAGGTTGGCAACCCTAGGAACCACAGTCTGCTGCAGCCAGCTCAGGCTTGTGATGCCTTGATGAGATTCATGGGCAGTGTGACCCCCGGTTAGCCCAAACTCATCAGATCAGTGAAGCTAAGCAGGGTGAGCCTTGGTTAGTATTTGGATGGGAGACCTCCAAGGAACACCCATGGTCCTGATAAAGAGGCAGGCCAGGGCAAACCACCTCTGAATGTCTCTTGCCTTGAAAACCCCATGATGGGTTGCCATAAGTTAGCTGTGACTTCAGGGCCCTTTCCTCCACCAAGGCCACGCCACAATAAACTCATTTGCCTTTATGCTGTCAAAGATGGCTTGCAGTCCCAGAATCCTTTGCAGTGCCACAGATCCGGTGTGTGGGCGATTCTCGAGTGGAAGACTGCCTTGTGCCTCCATTCAGGCTGAAGCCCTGGGCATGGAAGCAACAGAAAAGAGGGCCTGTAGCAGAGAAGAGGAAAGAGCCTGCAGCGGTTGCAGACTGATGCTTGACGGAGCTCGCCCCCCCACCCCCCTCGGCAGTCTTTAGGCAGGAAACAAAAACGTGGTTTGTTGTTGTTTTTAATCCCCAACAGAGCCAGACCTGGCTGGTGGGCTGCGTTTGGTGGGGTTGAAGCCTTGCACGCCACCAAAGCGCTGCAATTGGCCACCCAGCCTGCGGGCCATCCGTCAGCATGTCCCTCCTCCCCACCCCCACCCGGCCAGCACACAGAGGGAGCATTGTGGCACACAGAGGCCGCCTCTCGCTCCTGGCCCTGCGGAGGTCCCCAGTGATGACATACTGGGGGAATCGGACAGCTTACGCATTGTGAAACTCTCACCGGATGTGGGGAGGGGGCTGTTTGGCTTCCTCCTTGAAAAGCTTGAGACAGATCGCTGCAAAAGCGCCACTGGAGTTTTCCTGACCTCCATTAAGAGGAGCCTTTGACTCTCGTTAAAAGACAACGTCCGTTCATTTTCCGGGCTACAAAGACGCACACAAAACTTGGCCTTGCTCAGAAAATAAACATTCCCCCCTTGCCCGCCATGCACCAGCCTGATTGCCAACTTGTGGCTGCATTAATAATACCCGCCTTCGGTTCTTCCTCCTGATGGAATTGTTGTTCAGTCGCACAGTCGAGTCCGACTCTTCGCGGCCCCGTGGACCAGATCATGCCAGGCCTTCCGGTCTTCCGCCGTCCTCTGAAGTTTGCTCAATTTCATGTTCGTTGCATCGACGACACTGTCTAACCATCTCATCCTTTGCCGTCCCCGTCTTCTTTGACCTTCAGTCTTTCCCAGCATGGAATTGCTAGATGCCAAAGCAGCTGATATGTACCTGATGTTGAACAACTAGATTCAAGGCTGGTAGCATCTGAAAAGACCAGCTGGATTTTCGGATTATAAACTTTCAGAACTCAAAGCTCCCTTCGTCACCTACCTGTTGTGGCAAAGCTGGGAAATGCTCCCACCATCCATCACGTTCTTAAGGAAGACACACAGTGGGTTATGCATTTGCTTCTTACATAGCAAAGTTAGAGTGCAGTGGCACCTTTAAGACCAGGAAAGCTCACATCTTGAATCAAACTTTGTTGGTCTTAAAGGTGCCACTGCACTCTAACTTTCTTCTGTTGCTTCAAACTAACACGGCTGCCCCACCTTGATCTTCCTTTTTCTGTATCACACAGACAACAAGCTCCAGTTTATTGGCTGACCTGCTCTGATGTCAGGGAATGCCTGGGGAAGGTCTTCAGGGGACAGCGCCGCCAGTTTTTCAGCCTCCAGCTCACAGATTTTTGTCTTAGCTCAGGAAGGACGGCTCCAGAGCAAACTAATTGATGCAGGAGCCAAATCTCTCACAAATTTAATGCCAGTAGCCCACAAAGTAGAATTTTTGCTCACCCAACCCCACAGCTTACAGGGAACATTGGTTGTGTGGCACTGCCAAGACCAATGCTGCACAACCTGAGAAATCCACAGCAACTAAAGAAAGGTCTTTGTTGCTTGCTAAGGCAAGAGAGCATTGGGTATTGATCAACTGCTCCAGAGCTTCGTGCCGGGAATGTGCCTTTTGCATTTCACGGCACCACACGTGAGGAGGGGAGGGGGCGCTATTTGAACTCTGCCACCCAGGCCTCTGAAGCGAAGTGTGAATTGTCTCGAAAGCATGCTGGCTTCTTCGCTTTGCTGAGGTGTAGCGCTTTCTCTCCTGTGGCCAGGTAAAGGCTGCTCAGCATGTGAGCTTCTCCCAGGGCAGGGCTTGTTCCGGCTGTTAGCTTAAACAATTATCTAGGGCGAGTATGCTAATCTGGGTGAGACAGAAGCCTAACAAGGAGGCATGAGAGCACCAAGAGGCATTACACCACAGCCCCAAATAGTTGCTGCATCGCCAATGTGCCTAGTGGTTTGGCCCTATTTGGGGAACAGGGGCTGGGCTGGTATTATAAGCATCAACTTGCTGACATGGTAAATACTGGGGACGTCAGAGAGAGCAGCCTGGAACAGTAATTGCAGTACGAGTAACCACCAGAGAATGATGCATTTGCTATGAAGAGAGAAAGTCTTCTGTATATTCAGCGTACCAAGCCATGGGGGGAGGCTGCCCGCTGCATCTCTGTGTGAGTCACATCACGGCCCTCGTCTATTTTATTCAGCAATTTTTTCAGCCACCTTTCCAGGGAACCTGCCTGAGGCAGCTTATAAAAAGAAAAATAATAAAACACAACCCGTTAAAGTCTATTCATTAACATCCAGCATTACAGGCCCAGTCACAACATAAAAACATGTTGTGCAGCTTGAAATAACCGTTTCGGAATAGTAGCACACGAAAATGGTGTTTAAAAGGCCTGTTAGTTACAAGTCGGGGTGAACTGACCTGGTGCCTAAAAGAAAGCTGCGCTCTTTGCTGGAGGGAGCAGTTCTGCCCAGTGTCCCCAGCAGATGTGATTGCAAAGGTGAATCAGAATTACCCACTCTCAAAGGAAGCTGCCTGTTGCATCTCTGTATGAGTACTTGCTTTTCCAACACATGCAGAGACACCCCTGAGGGCAAGTAATTCTTACCTTTTCACATTGTAAAAGTAGACCTAATCTTCTGGGGGTATAAAAATTAAGCATGCCTCTTAAGGGGGGGGGGTGGGAACCATGAAGTCTCAGCTAGCAGAAGTTTGGAAAACGCTGACCTACATATTCAATTCTTTTGGATTTTAACTCACACTTCAGCTGCAGGTGTAAGAATGAAAGCTGCTGCCAGCTGACGTCTGTGAGAGAGTAAACTGGGTACCCTCTCTAGGGCAATAGGGCAAAACCAGGTAGACAGCCAGTTTGGAGCAGTGGCTAATCTGGGAGAACCGGGTTTGATTCCCCCACTTCTCCTCCACTCGCACCTGGCTGGATGACCTTGGGCAAGCCGTAGTTCTGCTAAGAGCTGTCCTTGGAAAAGAGCAGTTTCTGCCAAAGCTCTCTCAGCCCCGCCTCCATCACCGGGTGTCTGTTGTGGGGAGGGGAAGGGAAAGGAGTCTATAAACTGCTCTGAGACTCCTTTGGGTAGTGAAGGGCGGGGGATAAATCCAGTCTCTTCTCTTCTCTTGTCTCCAGCCATTCCTTTTCTGACTTCTGACCTCAAAATTTTCTCCCGGTTCCAAC